AAATCTTTTTATTTATAACCAAAGATCTGTTCAAAGATAGCTCTTCATTTATGACTATCATGACCTCATTTATTTATAATATTTTCTGTCCTTCTCGACTCAAAAAGATACAAGTGGAAAGGAAGGACAGGTGCCATATTTAATTGTGTTTTGGAAAACAAACGGGGAGCTGTAAAAGACATACAATGGAGTAAGGGTGGGTTTTGATTATCGATTAAAATCGATTCTGGCTTGGATAACGTGATATCGATTCATTAAAATCCTGAATTGATTTTTTTATATAAATTTATTTTGCCCAAAATGCCAGAGTCTCAGGTGAAACCTCACAAAATTTTGACAACCACCAAACAGCTAAAACAGTAAATGAGAGCAGGAACACAGATTCTGCACAACGACATAAACACAAAGCGCGGACCCGTGGATCACAATCAGTGAGATGTTGCCTTTCTCACCCTACGGACACGATCGGGTAAAGCTGTTAGTTTGATCTCTGCCCAAACAATATTGACCGAACCGGCAGCAAAAGAAGATCCAAACTACGCTTCACATAAACATCGTCATGGATTCCCTCTGACTTTTGCTTTTTTGCTTCCACCACAATAAAAATCACACTTCATGCACAGCTCTCTCTCTCTCTCTGTACTTCAAGAACAGTTTCCCATCTAAAAATCTGTTTTCTGCATTAGTCGCTTGCTTGTTACGCACAAGTCTACCGTTGTTTACAGCGCTGTCGGCCGCTGTTTTTATTCCCTTTTACTTACTTCCGAAAAGAAAACCTAATTTCTGCCGTTCAATGGGCTACTGACCAAATTTAAACTTTTTAAAATTATGCAAAATGCAAAACGCTTAGCCATGTCTGTACTAAAACCGCTGTCACTTCAGAGGTAATGTTCATATGTTGATTAAAAGTTTTCTTTCGTTTTTGATGTACTGGAGAATATTTTTAAAAATTCCAGGCCAGGAAAATCACCTTCATGTTTATCTTCAGCTACTTTGACACAAAGACATCTGCTGTGATGCTTACACCTTTGATAAAGTCTCACAAGTGTCAGCTTCCCTTTTGTAGATACAAAAATATGTAAATGTACTGATCTGAATTATAATATTTCTGACTGTCAAAGGCAAAATTTCCCAGATTCAAATTGAATTGATTGAATCGATTCGGGACCTTGTGAATCGGAATCGAATTGATTCTATTTTTTTTTTTTTTTTCTAAATGACATCAGAAACAGCAGTATGCGACATTACGTGATGGCAGAGCTTCAGTTCATCCTTTGTCATTTATTTATTTATTTATTTATTTATTTTTTTTAAATAAATAGGACAGGGGGAATGAATGAGAGAAAGAGGGGGAGAGAAAGAAAGAAAACCAAAGGGGAGAAGAGACGGTGAGAAGGGGGGGGAAGAGAGAGAAAAAAAAAGAACTCCTGGGTCACCTGTATGGAGAAAAAAAAAACAAACAAACAAAAAAACAAATCGAATTGATTCTAGAAATCAGTGACGATACCCAGCCCTACAATGGAGCTCTGCAGTTTCCAAGAGGTTAAAATGAGCACAAGCCTGTGTGTACCAATAGTACTTCTATTGCTGCTCCTGCTGTGGCAGCTGTTGTTTTGTGTCTTTGAGCCTCTCCGCAGTACTCGACCATTATGTTTAGTTTTATCCCAAGGACTTTGTTGTTACCTGGGCCTCAGTTTCTGCTTATCTGGCTCTTTTTCTCTCGTTCTTTCTTCTTCCTATTTTTTCTCTCATGTAATGTCTGTCTCTCTCTTACACTTTCTGTCAGCCCCCAAGCTTCAGTTTTGAGTTTTGATAGCAAAGTTATGAGCCTGTCAAAGTTCTCCCTGGTGACTGAAGTTGGATGTGGGTGTCTTAAAGAGTTCAAAATTGAATAACTTAGAGGTTGTGACATTGCCGATCAACATATTATCTGTAGGGAATTCCACTGGGATGCAGTAAGACAAACTGTATGCTTGGTAGTTTTGCTCTTAAAATGCCGTACATTGTATCAAAGTAAAAATAGAAGTAAGATGGCACATGCAATCCATAGTGTTCGTGCAATATCAGTTGTCTTACTGTAGTGTATTATAGCCATTCAATATATTTTGGATGGTTTTAGCTTTAGTGTCCTTGTTGTAGGTGAAATGCAAAGGCCGCCTCTCTAGGGAGCGATCGCATACTTTCGAAATCCATTTATCGCACCTTCAATTAAAAACAAACCCATAAACTATCAAATTATGGTCTTTGTATTTTGCTCCCTTTTTATGGTTTTATATTATCTCATGCAGCTACGGTTCAGAGGCCGTAGGCCATCAATTGATATTCATTTTCATGTGAAATTTTCTTCTTTAATATCATCTGAGCTAAACCATCTGCATTCCAAGTTGGCAGATGTTTTTCTGAAGGACAAAGTTGCAGCAGTGAAACATGATACGAGATAATTAGTCACTAATTTTTAATATTTCCAGCAGCAATATTTAAAAATTATATTGTACTGGATCCCACAGGGTATTTGGTATTTGGATAATGACACCAGTGACTTTTGACAAGGACACAATACTTCTGACTGGATAATGTTGGACTCAACACCTGAACCTTAACTGAAAAACAACATGAAATAAATTCTGATACACTAAAGAACTCTAATATGTTCAAGTTTCTGGATCTATGAGAAAATCTGACTGTACTACACTGCAGATTCTTTTGGAAAAAGCTGCCTTACGTACTACTGTTGTTTATCTACCATTTTTGTCAGCAAACTGCTCCCACAGTAGGTAGCAGTGATCTTTTATCTCTGGCTATCTTCAACACCCAGGGACTACCTAGTGAGCCACACTGCCTGTGCTAGCTAGAAAACAACCAGAAGCTGCCAACAGCGTTAATCACAGCTTTAATGCTTCCATACTCTGGGATTTGGAGGTGGAGGCTGGTGAGACTGGTTACCTTACCCTTTCCTAACACGCTGAAGCTTCTTTCCACACCATTAGTGCTCTCTGCTGAGCTGTTCTATCCAGGTCTACAACCGTACAAATGTACAGCAGAGCGCTGTGAAGTACCATCTGCTATAAGCGCAACTAACTACAGTAAATGTGAACACATCAGCACATTAGAGCAGCCACACCATGTGAGCATGCAGCCCACCTCTCAACTACATGGTTTTATAGCACTTGGGGGAAAAACACATTAAAAATTCCACAATAAAGAAACACTGGAGGACAAAGAATGTAAGAGTTGGACTGAGGGCTGATTTTACTAAGCTTAATCATGGCTTCTTTCCAACACATTCTGAGGATGTATTAGATCGCTTTCAAGACAGGATTCTCAGGCGATATCAATTTATTAATACAGTGTCATCCTCACTTGCCACCTGCATGAGCATCTGTTGGATAGTTGTTCTTTTAAGACTAGTTCCTACTCCTACAGTAGGCTGCCACTGTTTGTAATGTGCAAAATTTGTATGTATGTGTCTTATTGTGTTTTTGTGTGTGTGTGTGTGTGTGTGTGTGTGTGTGTGTGTGTGTGTGTGTGTGTGTGTGTGTGTGTGTGTTCTTTGCAACTGTCATCCCACCACATTTCTTCTTGCTCAAGCTGCATTGTCTCTACCTACAATCCTTTGGTGCTCTTTTTCTCTTATTCTTATTCTCAATCAGTTAAGGCCCTGATATTGTCAAATTTTCATGGCATAATTTAAAATCTGCTTCTTTCATTTACGGTAACCACTGTCAGAGGTACTCGGATAACAACATGGGAACCTATCGCTAGTTTGATGACTTAGCCTCTGCGGGCAATAACCAATTTTTCTAGCCTTCTGGTATAGTCAGCGGGTACATTGTTTACAAATGGAGACAACCCTAAAAAAGCTGAATAAAAGTGCAATTGCTTATTATATTTTTCACAAAATCGTTGATGATTTGGAAATTATGTTACAGCTCCGCTTTTGTCTATACACTGATTCTTTTAACTACAGCTTATCATGTGCACTGTCAATAGACCTCAGACTGCAAGTGAAGTCTAAACAGAACAGTACACAGGATCTGTCTACACATAATCACATTTTTCACACTTATAAAATCAGCTAACTGTGGGTAAGTTGTCACTAAAAACTACAAATGTCTTAAGAAATATCGATCAGCTCTTAAGTTCTGTTAGACCGTACTGTGGCACAGACAGCACTGGTAAATGTCAGTGCACTTATAAGCTCTGTTTCCAGCTGGAATAGGCAGATATTGTCGGGCAAAAAAGTTTTGAAAAACAGTGCAGTACGAAACTATAAAATAAGCAAAAAAAATCAAATTAATATTAAACAAAAGACACAAATGTCTTCTTTCTACATTTTAGCATTCTTCAGCAAGTGAAAGAGACAGTGTCATAGCCTTAAACTTCATAGTGTTGGCAAAACTTTTATTGTATTACCAGAATTTAGTGAGATTGACAGCTGTAGTGTGAGAATCAGTTATTATATAATCAGTAATTCTGGCTCTTACTCGGCTGAAACAACAAAAAAAGTACATTAACTACTGTCACCCGCGGTTACACAGTTGTATTGCAGCTTTACAAGATCACTTCGTATACTTTATCACAAATACTAAGGTCACAAAGCTTTCAGGTAATAACTGTATCTGAAAGCATTCAGTAAATAGGATAAAGACAGAAAATATTTCACAGCGTCAATTTGTTCTAACTTTGTACTTACATGGAACGTGTTGTGGCAATGACCCAGGGCTCAGTAAACTATATAATAGTTTACTGTCCAATTCTGAAGGGGGATGGAAGAATCTGGAAGGATGGAGCACCATCGATTGAAATTATGATAAAGCGCTGTCTCTGTAAATCTCTCCTTTTAATATATTTGCAAAGTCAATTCCCAAAAGCAGACTTCAGTGAACAGCGCTCAGCTAAACTTCACGGCACAGTAAGCTATATAAAGGCCCATTTTGTATCACTAGCATGATTAGATGACCCATAGGTCTCAGCTGATTCTGTTTACGTGCGCAACTCACCGCTTTGAAGTCTTCAGCTGCACATTCCTCCCCTCTATATGAGCAGGAAAGCAGCATGTCCTTAATGTCGTGGCCTGTCCGGTCATAAAATTCACGCATGTTGAAAGGCCGAGGCTTATAGCTGTCAAAGTCCGCTCTCTCCTTTAGGATTTGCAGGACATTTTCCTCCACCAGGTGTGGGTCCCGAATCTCATACCTGGACAGAAAGATTCTACACTTAGTCAACATTGATCACAAAATACACACATGTGCACAACTAACACACAAGTCTAATGTACTTAGGTTTTGCAAATTCAATATCACAAAAAGGATTTTGCCTCATTAAATTAAAAAAAAAGTAACATTTTAGGTTGTTCTTTTTCTCTATAAGAATTCTTTTTTCAAACTGCTTACCTTGAGCTTACAAAATCCACTTTGTCAGATTGTAATATTAAACATCCTGTTATTCCTTATTTTCTCACTCAAAGTATTAAATGCAGTTAAGGTTGTTAAAGAAGCAAGACACAACCTTAGTTGTACCTCTGTCACATCTAAAAAGATGGATTTTAAGAATTTTGCAGGTACACACGTTTTTCTGGCAGAAGAAACATTAATAACACAGATGCAGCAACAAGTGGATATCTACCGTTCACCTTAAAAAAAGGTGTACATACATGTCAGCATCATCAGAAGAGCAGCTAGAAAGCTTTCACAATATCATCTTAGTTTTATGAAACTGACAGCTTAACTGTGGCATACCAGTCTCCATGGAGTGCAGGAAAGCAGCTCATTATTTACAGGATGGGAATATTTCATTTCAGACAATTACTTTAATCGGTCTGTTAAACAATTAGGGTTATATGTGGTGGCAGAGCGATCATGTAGAAAACAATGTTCAGAATGCTGCTTTCAGGCTGATGATCCTCCACACCTACTATTTAGTGTAAATAAATAAATCTTCATCTGCTGCAATTTTTTTCAAAGTGAAAAATGGATCAATTTTACCATGTTCCACCTCTCATTTCCCCTGCAAACAAATAAGAAAAAACATGACAAAGAAGCAGTAATTTGCGTGCATCAATGCACACAGAAATGAAACAGAAGAAAAACACTGTGGAAATCATTTATGCTATGCCTTAATTTGACAGCTACCATCAACCTCTAGTGCCTGCTCACAGTCATTCACTGATACAACGTAACCTCAATTAAACAGTATGGCCTCGCGCAGCGAAAAAGTGGCCCATTGATGACCCCTGTTGAGCAATGGGCCATCAGTGGTACAAGCATCCAAATTATAGAGCGCTAAAATTAAGCACTACTGACAGCCACTTGTGAGATCATTGTTGTAGGACACTGAGACTGAAGAGGACAGCTTCTGTTTTTTCAAAATTGAAGTACTGCAAAATACTAAGGTAGAGTCCTGAATTCATATGTGATGTTGAGCAGAAGCAGTAATATCATGACCAGGTTCATATATTGTTTTATTGTAAGAATTTTGGACAACTCGTTTTGCACTAGCAAACATGAATAAGTTTATCCCCAAGCTGAAGAAGTGAAAACCAGAGACGGAGAAAGACAAAGGCATACCCTTCTCTTCCTGTGCCTGACAGTAAATCTGTGAATGACTTTGTGGACACTGACGACAGAGTTGTTTGTCATGAGCATGGGCACTATTTCAAACCATAATTGGTGGTAAAGCTTAATGGATTTTTTAAAAATTCCACAAGGTCAAGCTTTGTCTATGATAATGAACAAGATTTTGTCGCTTGATGATGGGAATAACATAAGCTGATCCATGAATAAAAAAATGAAATGTTACATTACTTCTTTGGGAGCACTGCGTTAATATTCAGCTGGAGATGTATTTTTGATTTATGCCCAAACCAAATGTAATATGTTTCACTGTTGCTACAGTGCTTTTTCCTGGTAGAGACTAAATGAAAAAGATTTTCACAACATGAGGTGGTATGCGCTGTAATTTAAAATGAGGGTTGTTCTCCTGCTCATAACACCGAACAGAGACGGTCATGCTTCGTGTTGAATGGAGTTCACAGCGCTTTGACAGACAATATCGGGACTATTATTCTGCTCAAGATTTAAAATGAATGCCAAGTGATACAGTTTTAAAATTCAACATCGGAACATCAGAGATCTTTTTTAACATTAACAAATCAACCAGGATTAACTCTAGCTGATTATAACTTCTTCTTTTTTATCGCTACAGTTTAAATTTTCAACGAGAATAGCAGCTGCTGGTTGCTATTTATCTTTTAAATCAGAGTTTTTTCCACAATTTGAATAAAAAGCAGTAACTGGTATGACACAACAGCCAAAAAACAAGACAGTTAAGCACTATCTTTGATACAGATTATAAATTAAAGATAGTGGATCTATGTGGTACTTATTTTCTAGTATAGTTCACTTTTCATTAATTTACTACAGGCCAAAAGAGTGTTGCGTACAATTAAACGGTTATACTGTAAGTAAGTAATAAGGGGTGTTAGAGAAAAACATGTTCATATCATTTCAGAGTGAAGCTAATGCATAATTTTTTTTTCCAGAAATAAGTTATTCAAACAATAAAAGGATAAAATTGAAAACCAGAGGATTAGTGATGTAGTAGCTCATCTGGCTCCTGATTCTTCACAGTTTACAGGTTACTGCTTTTTGAAAAGTACTGAAACTGAAAGAAAGTGATACATTTTTATACTGTTTCTTTTTAAGAAGGAGCCCTTCTTGGTTTCAAAATGTTTGATGTGTTCTTTGGAAGGCATATAATGAACTCCAAGGTGCATCCTGGAGCATATTGCCACACTGCAATTTTTCAAAATAAGGAAACATGTTTACCTAAATGTTAAAAAGCGAAGCAGTCCAAAGAGAAAAGAAGCATGACTGCTCAAGCAAAAAAGAGCAGGAAAATTTCACGACTGAGAAACCCCCAGAAACAATAGTAGTGGAGGAGGAAACCAGGAAAACCACACTTTTCCCAAATGTTAACACAATACTCTGGCTACAGTAATCAAGGCTTTGAATGCCGTTTCCTGTACGGCATCAAAGTTGTCATTAAAAAAGAATAATAGAGCAAAAGTAAGAGAAGGAGGTAGAGAACAATGAAAACCTGCTATATAAAGTCAAGATGAGAAACTTGCTAAAAGAATTGGACAAACTGTGGTGGTTACTCCAAGAAATAAGTGTCACCTAGTAAGGATACAAACCTTTCTCTGTGAATGTGGTTTTAATATTTTCAGTATTTAAAATGGAAGTATGATTACTACTGTCTATGTATTACTTGTTTCAGACGTGAGTTTAAAATTAGAGGACAGAGTGGTACTAATATCGTAAATATCTGTCAGTGGAGCCATTTACAAATTGTCATGTTTTTAGTAATGTTGGTCCCTAAAAGCACTCTGACAATCACAACTCCAGTACTCTTGCCCACATGGGAACTACATCACAACACTGTCACACTCTATTCTAACAAGAAGCTAGCCTGTTGTGGTACATTCTGGACTTAATTGAATTGTATCCTGAGCCACTGTTTTATAAGAAACACAAAGCTGCCAGGAGAGCACTTAAGACGCTGCGCTCACATCCCCGAATCAGGAGGCTTTAGTTGAAGCGCATACAATCACAATAATATGGGTAGATTTTTAATATTGCCCTGCCACTGCTCCCTAAAGCAATCACTGCAAACTCTCTACGTATGGGAGGGGGAGACTAAATTGGATTATGGGCCACAAGCACTTTAATTTTCTTGTGGGGACTAAAACGAATGAAGGACCATCTGCAACACTTTGCCACCTCATGAGAAGAGAGAGCAAATATAAGCAGCCACTGATTTTAAGAGTGGACTTTCACAGTAAGACTGTGGTCACAAGGCGGTACTCTCTCTCTTTCTCACACGCACACAAACAAAAGCAAAAGCACTACATTTGTTTTGATGTTAATACCTCGGGCTGTGTGACACAACAATGAACACATCTTGACATAATCTCAGGTAATTATCCAATTAGCGCTAATTGAACTCATACACTAACAAGGATTGGATTGTTTGTGCAGTGCCCTTGAAAATGAATATGTGCCATGTTTCCTGGTGGCTGAGTTTGGATAATCATATCTTCATGATGGTGCACCTGCGATTCAGTTATTCTTCCAATTTGGCCAAGGTCACAGAAATGCAAACAAAGGATGCCACGAGGCACAGAAAACCCAAACAAATATCTATTGTATTGATGAGAAATACACAAACAAGCCAAAGACGAAAATATGGTAAAAACATGCAAAAATTTCTGTGTCTCCACAGTTGTAATATTCTCTGCGGTAAACAGCCACAGTACACTATAAATGCAAATGAACCCAGATTTGAAAAATCAGCTTTTTCCGGTCGATGACCTGGCCTCCCAGTGTCCCCATCCGTGCACTTTTTTTACACCACTTAAATCTGTAATACGGCCATGATCTTGCTGAGACAGATAAGGCAGTCAAAGTTATGGAGCATTACATTTCACATGTAGCTCGTGGGAATTGAGAGCATGTTTGCAAGCTCAGGAAACATGTTTAATCTCGGGCTCTGTGTAAGCAGAAGACGTGCTTCTCTGGTTTTCGTGAGCTGATCTAACACTTCTTGGCAGCACAAACCACATAACCAACACCTCTTTGAAATGACCTTTCTTTTGCTAATTATCATTTAATTGCCTTTGCAACATAATAAAAATAAAACTGAGCAATTTACTTCTAATGTTCTGCACGGCTAACTGTAACTCCAACCTGAGAAAATACAATACGAAAGTGATTTATTTATTTATTTATTTTTTGGTGGGTGGCTGCTTGGAAACTGCTGGAGTCGAGTAAGTTAAGGTGAAATTTCTAGCAGCTCAGCTTCAAACTTCAGTGTCTAAGAAAGCCTGGCATCACTGCAAGGGTAGATATTGCCTACTCCTTCTTCCTGAGACAGTGATAGACACCGACCCACAAACACAGCATTTTGTTTGTATTCTGTCATTTTCTGTCCAAACCTACCACCTGTCTGGTGGTATCAGAAGGCTTACCACTGAAAAATCTTCTGTTCAATCAATGTTTAGTGTAAAATCTGTGCGTCCAAGATGTTCCTAATTTATTTGTTTTCCTCCACATTCTTTAGCACTCTAACCGCTTTGAAACCTGATTTAAAAATCATTTTAAAAACTGTCCCCTGTCCTCATTTTAAAAAAAAAAGAAAAGTAAAATGAATGCCGTTCCTACCCCAACCCTGATCCCAGGCCAAGCTAACTGAGAGGGCAAGGAAAAGGGAGAGGGAGATGACAGTGTTAATCAGTGGCACAACTCTGTAGCTTAACAAACAGCACTAATTACACGGGGATAAAGACTTGTTCATCACACAGCTTACGAGACACAAGTTAATTGCCTCTCCTTGTAGTCCCCTCCCTCCATCAAAAGTCAACTCATCCCAAAGTCACTTGGAGCAAGTAAGGTTGCTTTAATGTTCTGCTTCCTATATCTTCTTTTATTTTTTTTAGGTGCACCTTTTTAAAGAAAATCTGGCTACACCTGCAATAACAAATCAGAGAGATGGAAACCTGCACTGATATCCTAATGGTCTACTATTCCAGCTGACACTACAAACAACCCGGAAACAAATCTCGGAATCTATACCATACAAAGCATGCAAAATACATCCGCAAGACAGTGAATCTATTGGCATCCTGTAAAGTTATAACCCAAATATGGATGTATATATGAGGGTCACAGAAAAATGATATCCAGTATGAAAACAGAGAATTTGATTTATGTCATTCCAGCATGTACAGCATGCACAGTTGTACGCGTTGCCTCAGGCTGCAACACTTTGTGAATCAATAAGCTAAAAATAAAATTAAAAATGAATTCAAGATGATATTGAGACATGTTTGTGTGTATTACATATTTTATGTTTGCGTAAGTGCAGTAAACAATGTCTATGCATCTGTGTGTCCATGTGTGCATGTGTATTTGTGTGGGATATTTTTCTTCCTGCTCTAGCTGCAAATGCAAAGTGCAGGATTATTATCTGTATTGGAAAAATGGGATCAGTATAATCTGGATAACATCGAAAAGAAGAATTGAAGAAATTCAGAGTTAAAAGTTTCAACATGAAACAGTGTGCTTGTCATGGTTGCCGAAAGACTAAATGATCAAAGCACAGCAGAAAGCAACAAGTGTAAAGGGAGGGGATGGCAGTTGTGAATCATGCACGTCTCTCAACACTTTGTCAGCGGGGGTTTAAAAATCTTCTCCTCTACTTATCCAATATTTATATTAGCATGTTTATATTTGCCTTTATTAAACACTTAGAAACAGCTTATCTATTATCTGTTACTTGGAGGATTCTCAGCATCTATGTTAAGGTGTGCTCATTCTCACTATCAGCATATTTTAACAGGTGGATGTTAATGGTTGTTGTTCCATTGCTTTTCACAGCTATGGTAGCATGTGTGCAATATGGATTTCAGTAGACAGTAGATCTGTAATGTCACTACATTTTCATCCTTAGCCTTTAACCTCACTTTCTTACTTACGTGCGTTATACTACAATCTTTAGCTCTCAGAGCTCTGGAAGGTTTTGCATGCTTTGTCAGTGAAGTCCGGATTTCCTCCAGTAGCCTAATAGCAACAGCCAAAGACAGGTGGTAAAACTCTGCCCCGCTCTTCCATGTGACATAAGACCTCAGCTAAAACAATGCAGACTACACCTAAGCTCCAAAGTTAAATGCCAACTCAAACATTGCTGTTGCTGGGCTGCAAAGCGTAAAACCTGCTTCCACACACAGACTGTCTATAGAAGACATGCAGATATTTAGTGGTGTGGTCAAACGATTTTTAAGTGCTCACAGATATTTTTTTAAGTTTCATGATAACTGCACTAGAATGTGACAACAACAAAAATTTAGTGTTATAGCTAAATGCTGGGGGCACAATCAGATCCTGAATCATCATGTGATAAATCCACACAGATGTGCACCCCTGCAGCCACTGCATTTGTCATACACTAGGCTACATAATACTTGGGGTGCAGGTGAGGTGTGGTTTTAGTGCTTATATAAAATCACCAGTAAGCCAGCCTACACACAGGCAGGTATTGTAAATGGCTTCTGGACGTACACACCTGCCGTTGAGCAAGGCAAGGAACTCCCCAGCGTGGTACAGGTCGTTCCGTGTCACCCGGCTGAAACGGAAGGAGTTGAGGTTGCAGAAGGTTACCGAAGGGAATATTATCAGTGAAGCCGCCACTTCATCCAACTTGGTGACATGGGGGTACTCGAAGTAGAACTGCACCCGATCCACGCACACCATCACCAGCACACCCACGGAGGCCAAGAAAAACAAAATCCACAGGGTGCGCTTGATATACATCCGCTTGTAAGTGAACATGTGCGAGATGCCATGCAGTGTGGATCTGGCGGCGAAAACTTCAATGGGAGCCGGCCGCCTGTAGTCCATGTCCTCTGAGTCCGCTTTAAGATCCATTATGTCCCCGAGATGAGTTTAGATGAATGATGGGTGTGAGGTCGCAAAAAGAGCAAAGTGGCTTTGTAGATAAGCAGATGCTTTATTAATGAGGAGGAGGTTAGTGGCCGCAAGTTCACGCCCTTCTACGCATGTATTTCTCATGCAGTCTGTGTGAGATGTTGCGTCACTGACAGCCGGCAAAATTGCTCGACATTTAGAGCATTTTACAATCCTCAAAATACAAAGTTCTTAACTGAAAACACCTGTAAAAAGTGAATGTGGGAGAAGCATGCGTTGTATGCTGCTTCGTTTGGGGTCACAGTTCCATAATAATAATAATAATAATAATAATAATAATAATAATAATAATAATGACGATGAAAGCGCGCATGGAAAGATGCCAGCGCTGTTCTCTCCTGCACACTTCTGTAAAATTATCGAGTTGATATCTGGCTTCCAAGCTTAGCACAAACAGCAGAAATAGTGTGCAGCTCTGCGGGAACAGATCACGGTTGAAAAGGTAGAAAATAAACCACTACGAAGAAGACAAGGAATTAGAAAATAAAAGCGGTTCAGAGAACAGACCGGCTACATGGCTTTCGCGTCTCTTCTTCCCGAGCAAATCCCAACACGCGTGGAATAACAATCAGCCGCTGATTTCTCGCCTGTTAACGTTTTAAGAGCGGTCGTCGGGTGTCCTGGGTTTTCCACGGGATAAACAGCTGCATCACAGAGGAGCTGGCTCTGTCTGATAGCTGCCTCGGTGCGCCTCTGCTTGCTCGCTTGCATCCATTCCCTCCTCCGAACTGCGTCCACAACAATGCAATGATAATGACTCTGATTTTTTTTTCTTTTCCTGAAATGATATGTCCTTGAGTAAGAAGGTTCTAGGAAAATACTATTTTCCGTGAATTCAGGAAAAAATTACCTTAGACCAGTAGCGGTTTCCCAGATCAATTAAATTCGCCCCAAACAGGAGAGAGCAAGGATAGGATGGCATGTGTTTTACACCGGGTGACGGAGTCCAGCGTCGGCGGCACTCCAGCAGTGCCTAACCCATACTTTACCCAAAGCCACTGTAGCCTACAGAACATACAGCTTTACCCTCAACTTAAAATTGGTAGTTTAGTTAAAGTTTAGTTACATTTTTGGGTAAAATTACTTAGCCTGCTTTATCTAAACTACCAAGAAAACAATGAGCTAGCCTACTAAAGGAAAGAGAATTTTTAGTTATCCTAAAGGCCTAAACAAACACTTTAAAAGATAAATGACCTAAGCAGAAAATCATTACCTTTGCACCAGACTTGTTGTGTGAATTATTCTAATTTACTTACTGTTTTATTCTTTGTTACTATAATACAGGATTAGGTCAACTTTTAAAGTGTAGATGGTATATATAAGATGGACATACACCCACCGCCCATTTTGTTAGGTAAAGCTTTTCAACTGCTAGTTTACAAATATCTAATTAACCAATGTGCTCAAGACCTCAAAGTGAGCATTAGAAAATAAAGAAAGGTGATTTTGTCACTTAAAATGTGACGTGATTGTTGGGTAGTTGCACGTTCTCAGCAAGGCTGGAAAATACAGGATTGGAAAAACTGTTCAGGCTGGTGATGGTGTTACAGTGCAACCTGGTATCACGGCAAAGCGTGTAATGGACTTGCTGTTTCCATTTCACACTTTACACACACGTGAAACAGACACACATTTTAGCCGCCTTGCTTAATCATTTCCGGCATGAGGACCCTGGACTGTACTTCATACGTTTTTTGCTCACTACTGACTTCTTGACTTTAAATATATTATATCCCCCTGCTGGTAATGCAATGTCTACATGTGAAATGGACACGGTGGACCCGTGTGCCTATTACATGTTTTGCAGTGAAACTGAGTTGTGTGATGAGTTGTGTGATATTTTTGTGGCACACTTTGGATCTCTTAGTGTCCATTGAACATCCTTTGAACACAACAGTTTACCCTAGTATTGTTGTTTGCCAGGTCCATCCCTTTATGACCACAGTGTACCCATCTTCCAGCAGGATACTGTACCATGTGCTAAATCTCAAATCATTTTAAACTTTCTTAAACATGTGACTAGATGTGTAGTTGACAAATTTGCAACAACTGTGTGATGCTATCAAGGCAGTACAGACTAAAATCTCTGAGGAATACCTTTTTGAATTTGTGACAAGAAGAACTGTTCTGAAGGAAAAATGGATTCAACACACTACAAACAAGACATACTTAATGCAGTGGCTGGTGTGACTATACAACTTCCAAGTCTGAGAAAGTAAGCCAATGAAAATTTGCCCTAAACCTGCGTTCTTGGTGCAGTAATGGCCAGTGGTAGTGAGAGTGGGCAGTGGGCAATTTCTCTGGCTGTTTAAAGATATTCAGTTGTATAGACATCACTGGGAAAATGAACCTCAGCTGCCTTAATCTGTTACCTCAGTAAAAATGTTCTTAATGAGAATAAGAGCTCAATCAGTAGCTGCAAGTCATATTAAATAGAAAATGACTGGTGCTATTTTGTAAATATATGGCACCCATTACCGTTAAATAGGAGGATATTACAGGGGACACCTTACCATGTAACCATGTGATTAATGAGCTGCTCACTACAAGGGATGTTGAAACTCATATGCCAAGCTTTATAATGGGCACTTTCATCCTTTGTATAGGTCTTTATAATACTATACTTTAGTTGGAATGTATTTTTAGCATAGTCATAGAATTACCTTTAATTATCAACATAAAATAAAATTCCCAATTATGTTTTCATCTTCCTTTGTAGCATGTAAAACTTTTTGATTTGTAAAGGATTCCTAAAAGTGGTACTTCTCACAGTAACACTGCAGTTTTCCATAAAGGTTTTTTAAGTATAGAGGACAGAGTTCCGAAAGATGTGTTTGCTTTTACCCATAGTGGAAGTCTCTGTTTACCATAATGGAATTTTGTTGTCTTGTTTATTGATGTCCTTTATTCAGACAAGTCCTTTTACATTCATTGCTTAATGGTAAGAAAGAACTGGGATTAGATTAAAAATAAATAAAAAAATAAATATATATATATATATATATATATATATATATATATATATATTAGGGGTGCAACGATACACAAAATTCACGGTTCGGTTCGATACTTTGGTGACACGGTTCGATATTTTTTCAATACAAAAAAATGTTCATGCCTTTTTAATTTATCATTTATTAAAATTATAAATATATATATTTTAACTCAAAAGTACAGTTTTTAAATTTAATGTTGCTGAAACAACAAAATAAAAAAATAAATCTATCTGATCGAGAAATCACTCGTCTTTGGAAAAGAGAGTTTATTACAGAGAAATGGCTCTTTCCAAAATAAAAGCTATACTATACGCTTCTTCTGGGCTATATTCTCAGCAGCATATTAAACATATCAGGTCCCCATAAGGAGAATCATGTGCTAATGGCTGTCTAAATGACTCAGATACATATGCATACCAAACCGAAAGCACTGTATCAAACAGTTCAATATCGATACGAGTGCAAAGACAGCACAGACTGAAAGACAGCACAGAGGCACTAATCATGGCAGCACAAGAACAAGCTCTGAGTACAAGATCCATAGAGGCTGGGGTCTATCACACCAGGCAAGACCCCAGGTGCAGGCTGTGTAAAGATGCCCCAGAGACAATCCAGCACATAACAGCAGGGTGCAAGATGCTAGCAGGCAAGGCATACATGGAACGCCATAACCAAGTGGCCGGCATAGTGTACAGGAACATCTGTGCCGAGTATAACCTGGAAGTCCCGAGGTCAAAATGGGAGATGCCCCCAAGGGTGGTGGAGAATGACCGAGCTAAGATCCTGTGGGACTTCCAGATACAGACGGACAAAATGGTGGTGGCTAACCAACCAGACATAGTGGTGGTAGATAAACAGAAGAAGACGGCCGTAGTGATCGATGTAGCGGTTCCGAATGACAGCAATATCAGGAAGAAGGAACACGAGAAGCTGGAGAAATACCAAGGGCTCAGAGAAGAGCTCGAGAGGATGTGGAGGGTGAAGGTAACGGTGGTCCCCGTGGTAATCGGAGCACTAGGTGCAGTGACTCCCAAGCTAGGCGAGTGGCTCCAGGAGATCCCGGGAATAACATCGGAGATCTCTGTCCAGAAGAGCGCAGTCCTGGGAACAGCTAAGATACTGCGCAGGAACCTCAAACTCCCAGGCCTCTGGTAGAGGACCCGAGCTTGAAGGATAAACCGCCCGCAGGGGCGTGCTGGGTGTTTTTTTATATATATATATATATATATATATATATATACACGATATATCCTGTGCAATATCGTAGCTTTTCTTCTGGACAGAGGTCTCGGATGTTGTTCCTGGGATCTGCTGGAGCCACTCAACTAGCTTGGGAGTCGCTGCACCTAGTGCTTCGATTACCACTGGGACCACTGTTACCTTCACCCTCAACATCTTCTCAAACTCTTCTCTGAGCCCTTGGTACTTGTCAAGCTTCTTGTGTTCCTTCTTCCTGATGTTACTGCCATCTACGGCCATCTTCTTCTGTTTGTCTACCACCACTCTGTCCGGCTGGTTAGCCATCACCATTTTGTCCCTCTGTATCTGGAAGTCCCACAGGATCTTAGCTCGGCCATTCTCCACCACCCTAGAGGGTATTGCCGTTATGTGCTGCAATGTCTCAGGGGCATCTTTACACAGCCTGCACCTGGAGTCTTGCTGGTGTAATAGACCCCAGCCTCTATGGATTTTGTGGTCAGAGCTTATTCTTGTGCTCCCATGATTAGTGCCTCTGTGCTGTCTTTGAGTTCAGGGTTTCTGAAGCCATTTTCCTGATGTTTTGGTGTATTCAACTTAAAAATCTGTATGCATTTTCTTTCTTTCTTTCATTTTTTCCCCATTAATTTGTATTCAGTGCTGGCAGTGGAAGCCTCTGAAACATGGCTTTTGAGCGTATTCACTTTGAAATTTCCAGGTTGTAAGCATTTTTTTCAGATGTATCTAGCAGCTCATCAACACAGTGTCAGTTCTCTCTGGCTGCAAATTCAAAACAGTAAACATTGAGTCAGTGTTGTGGCATATATATTCTCCAAGGGGCGGAAACCAAAATAAAAAGAGTGTATTTTACTCATCAAACAGAGTTATGGCTATGCCCTTCTTTATCTGACCCGACAGCCACCAACCAGAGGGAGGAGAGGTTGCTAAAAGTAAACAAACACTCAAGTACATATAGGCACAAAAAGAAAAAAAATGCACACATATACAGAGTCTCAGCATATTGAGCTACACATACAGATGACTGATGCATGCTTATACAGCATAGGCATGCTCACACACATGCAGTTGTGCATAAGCTCATAGAAATCACCTAACTGATATATTTTCTCAACTGCTTCACCAATTCTGTTTAGCTGATTGGGTGGAACATCCAAATACGTCCGATTGAGCAAGTGAGCCAAACACAGCTAATAAAGCAGATGTGTCACCAGAGTGCCAGCACCAAATCTGTCATAGAAACTGTATTGCTAAGAAGAAAGGGGAGCTCACCCATGAAATTGTTCATAATGCGTCCATGATTGCCATTTGCCATAGTATTGACTGTGACAATGTGGCAGTCATCTATAAACCCTGCGCCTTATATTGATCATCATTGCTGGAAAGATGATCCCTGCTCTGTTCCAGTGAGGTGATGCGTATTCTGGGTAGACACTGTGCCAAAGTGACATACATGGGTTTGATATTACCGCAGATATTAAATTCCTGAGGTGGATTTTGATAGCAGGTGATGGGATGTATACTTGCCTAAATTTAGTTTTTATTATTTTTTTCTATTGGGTAATGCTAAAGAAGCCCAGTGAGAGGATACTCCTATCCATTTACATTGCTCTGAAGAAAATGGCAAAATTCTCTACAAACCTGGATAGATAGCCCTTCCTGTCAAAGTAATTTTTCAGTGGGCCTTTTCTGG